GGTTTACTTATCAACTCCTACAATACATTTTTTTATTTGATTTTTTAAATTTAAAAATTAAAAAAAATTTTTCTTTAATAAATTTCATTCCACTTCATTATTTATTTTGTCATTTACAACAACAACAAAAAAAAGCTGAAATTAATTGATTTTTTTTTTTTTTATTTTGATTTATTGATTTATTTTTTATTTGCTTATTCAGTCGTCAATTGTTACCTACCCACCTCTCCCCCACTCATCAGCATTTTGAAGTGTAATATAGTGTAATAGACAGTGTGGGATGATTTAGCAGAATTTTTTGCTTCCCCCTAGCAGAATGTCATTTTTACGCTGGTCACACACTGCCCAAAATTGTAATGCAAATAAAGAGGGGAATTCCTTTTTTTGAAGGGCTGGTTCGCAAAAAATATCCCCAGTGATACCACCGTTATAATGAATTGTTTGATGCTTTCAAATCGGGTGAGATTGGAGAAGGAGGAGACATAGGAGAGAGAAGATTTTACGACGGTACGTATTGCTAACTGTGCTTGTCATGAATCACCCTTGTCATAGGCCTAACTAGTAGGTATAGCAGTGGTTTATTTAGAAGCCAGCGGCCGGCGCATTCGATCGGCTACTACGATGTTTTCGCCGGCTACTTCAATCAATGGGGTACAAAAATTAATACAAAAACCACCAATATAAATAGCGCAACAGGCCTATAAAGAACCTTATTTACCTACACGAAATTAATTTGAAAATATTAGACAATAGTATGCACTCATTTCGATATTCTTTTCTGTTGAAAGATCGTTAAAATTTCTACCAATTTTCAGACTCCATCTTTAGCTTTTATGAACTCGCGGCGTAAACAAAGTTTAAGGTCAAAGTTCTGCAGTCGCGCCTGGGTGAGTCCATCAAAGAAGCCCGCCTCCAAATCACATGTTAGCCAATAAGATAAGAGAAATTTCTCCTCCACCACGTGCTTTGGTAATGACGACATACAATACATCGCCCAAACTTTTCTTCCGTACATTGGGCTTCCGGGTTTTTTTCCGCGAAGAAAAAAACAGATCGTCATTTTAAAATTGATTTGTGTAAGACTACACACCTTTTACTGTATTTTCATTTTATTTTTATATAGGTATGTTAAACACGATAATTATTAAATGCTCTTCCCGTTTAACATCACACTATCAGAATGTTTGTTTTTTTACCAGCTCTTTTGTGATGAAATAAATATTTCGGAAATGATAGATAAGACAAAGAAAAACAACACTGGCTCAAATTCGTTTACACTCGGTGGCGGAGGTAGCAAGCTGAACCAACTTATTGAATGTTGTTTACACTAAGAATTTCAGAGTCATAGATAGTACAATGATTAAAACAGCAAAACAAGCCAAAATCGTCTCAATTCACATCACATGAGACATTTTTTCCCCAATGTGGTATCCAACCCTTTTCGATATATCTGCGTAAATTTTAGAACTATTTTTTGCTCTCCTTAGATGTTTTCTTCAACCTAGTTTAGCGACCTATAGGGACGATGCAATGCAGATAGGGCATAGACCTAAATGGGGAATCCCCACAAATTGCAACATGTTTGTGAAAAGTTAACAACTTCAGCATTATAAAAATTGTATTTTTAATTTGTTTTGGTGGATTTATTAAATGTGTATACACTTAAAAAGAATAATTTCAATTATTGAATCAATATTCTGACCTTAAATTCCGATGTTGAGCTCGAAAAATTCGTAAATTCTAGGCCTATTCTAACCTACTCAGCAGTAATTATATATATTGATCAGGAAGGTTCTGATCATCACTGCATGTGATGTGATTGCACATGTGCAACCACTGTATGCAGTGAAGAAGTTTAAATGGAAACTAATTTTCGTAGCATGACATACCACGATCTTCAGTCATCATTATCAATGTGTTTGAATTAATATTAGGCCTACAGGAAAATAATTTGTTAATAAAACATTGATAAATATTGTTCATTTTGTAGGATACTGGAATACCATACAAAATTTAGGAATATCATATAAGTGAGTACTGTATGTGTGTAAACTTGTCTCTTATCTGTGCCTGGGATAGTCAGCTAAGTCCTGGTCCTAGCAGCTGAGGTAGGCAGCAGGCTTATGGCGCCTAGCCTAGGCCTAGCTACTGCAGCCTACACAGTGGCTGTAGGCCTATTTAACATAGGCCTAGAACTTACGATACGATATTTTCAGCTATTGTATGATATTCCTCACATGAATAAAATTTAGGCGAAATTCGCAAAAGTTTAATGTCGCGAAAACGGCCGAAATTATTAATTCTGGTTTTTACAGCATCTAGGCTAAGACTAGCCTCGAGGCCTATGAAGAATATGTAAAAATATCAACTTTTTTAAAGCTCAGTAGTTAATTCTAAAAAAAAAAACCTGTTTTTTTTTTTAATGATGTAGAGAAATGCCATCAAATGGGCTTTAAAAACTCTAAAACTCCGGCCCCCCCACCAGGGCTCTGCCCCTGGACCCCGATGGGGCCTGGGCGGCCCCCCTATACCCCGGCCTTTTTTAATTAACTCTCCTGTTACTTTCAAATTTCTCCTGCTACTCAAATTCATAAATAAACCCCTGGGTATAGGCTAGTGTATTTGAATGGGTCAGTGGCAGTGAGGCAGCGGTCTAGTTAGGCCCCGTCTACCAAGCCTGGAATGGAAACGGTCGCACAGGCCTACACATGTTAAGAAAATCAGTTTGGTATGGGCCTAATAAGATTTGTAAATGCTGAGGTTTAATTTAAAAATTGTCCTTTGAGAAGCAAGAATATCGAAATGTATCAAGCAAGTAGGCTTACGCTAGCCTGGCTTACTAGAGGGGAGAGGGGTCTAGAGTAGGCCTAAGCCTAACCCAGCAGGTCTGTCTAGGCCTAGGACCTAGCACTACCTAGGGAGTTTGTTTTTGTCATCCAGTCATGACATTCATTTGTTTTTACATCAGTTTTTTTTCTCACACTGTTTTGTAATTTTTTTCACAGGTTGTTGCAAAATTTGGTCCCACGAAGAAGGTAGACATATCCATTCAAGTTCAATATATGTATATTTCCTTAATTCATTCTTTCAAAATACATTTTGCAATAATAAACTTACCAAAGCATATGCACTTGCAATGACAGCAGATGTAAAGAGAGGGTCAATAATTTCTTCATTTTCTATACACTTTTATACCTTGCCAGATGTATTTATGAATTCTCACTTTTCATATTTAGAAACTGTACTGTATTTTAGCAAAATGTGTTACTGGACAATAAAAACATGTTTTCTTTGTAAATTTGAGTCCGTTCTTGTGACTTTTTATGTGTTTGTCCTCAACCAAATGCAGCAGCGAACGTTGATGGGACGGTTGGCAGAAAAAAAAAAAAAAAACATCCCTGCCTCATCAGTTTTTATACTGGGATAGGGTGATAAACTAAATTTTTTTTACGGGGCCTTATAATAGACCTTTATTAAAAACAAAATTAAACACAAAACCCTACCTTGGATTAGTGTACATACCTCTGACACCAACTGGAGTGCGGGATATCCCTCCATGATGTTTAATTATGAAAAAAGGATTTTCAAAGATATTTCTCCGCTGGAAACCATAGGTTGCTGATTAACGCATAATTTTGGTAAATCAACTTTGACCTTTGTCATCCTCTGTTTCTACTACCTCACATTTTCTTTTCTTTTTTATCTCTGGTTTTACCACTGCTGCACCTCCAGTACCATTTCCAGCAGCAACTCGTTCAGTTTTCATGATATTCTTGAAATGATTTTTGATGGCTGACTGCCAAGAACTCTAAAATAACATTCAAAAATCTAATTCAAGAATGAAAGTTAATGTTCTCTTTAAATATCTTAAAAAATCAAGAGCAAAAAAAAAAATGTTTGTTTTTCTTATTTAGCAAATATAAATTGCTAAAAACATCTAGACGGAGAAGAAAATAAAATAAAATTTGTTTGGTGGAACACTGTAAATGGGATGGTTAAAGTGCTTTAAATTTATATAATTAGGAATAGAAATGTAATTCTTATTTTAAGGCAGCGGTGGGCATACAGTAATAAAAATATAGAAAAACTTTTATTTTTTCTAATTCCTCTGAAATTTCTACTTTTGATGGCAAGTGTGCTAATTAGCCAAAAATAAAATTTCATTTTTATTGAAAATCATCATTTTAGCGAGCAGTGGGTTGCTAAAAACTTGTATAAAAAAAGGTTTAGCCTTGTGTAAAGAAAATATTATATATAATGTAAATTATAATAGGCCTTTATTATAATAAAACAAAATTAAACACAAAAACCAATTACCTAAAAGTTAGTGAAATACAAAAAATAAATATGTAGCAAAATATATCATCAATTTTAAAAATTAATTTAAAACGTTTTAACTTTAAAGAATTTACATTTGAAAAAATATATAGGCCTCTGGCCTAGCAATGGCCTAATTAATATTATTATATAATTATGAAATTAGGACTACCCTTGCGCCCTACAACAGCCAGTAGGCATAGGCTACGCCTAGCCCTTGGCCTGGGGGTATATTTTTTTTAGATTGTTTGTAGTAGCCTTGGGCATCTAGCCTAGGCCTGCTAGAGTATAGTAGAACTACCTAGGCCTAGCCTAGGAGTAGGCCTAGTACCCCTAGCCAGTACAGGCCTAGGGGGCCTAGGCCCTAGGCCATACTTAATACAATAGTACTACTGCAAAGATTTTTTAATTGCGCAGAGGCTAGAGCCTAGGATAGGCATAGGCCGAGTATCTCAAAAATCAGCTCAAATTGCGAGGAAAATCGCTAGAAAATAGGTGCGCGAAATCTTAAATTGCTGCATAATTAAAAATAATTGCATCGTTTTATGGGGATATGACCGGTTGAGCCGCTGACAAGTTGAGCCGCCGGTAATTTCTATGGAACGCCAAGCGCGTCTCTCAGTGAATGTAGTGCGTCTCTCAGTGAATGTAGTCGGCTTGCCGATGTCATCAGTGAATGAACCCCCCGGATATCAGCTACATATTCATCTCACAGTCTTGTCAGTCGTTGATTTGCTCATATTGCCGTTCGTGATGTATAATTGTGTAATTGAAAATTAGAATTTTAATATATTTATGTACTACATTTTTATAAAAATATATGAAGTTGTATAATTGCAAAATCGTATTAAAAATGTGTTTATTTACGTTTGGCTTGCGGCATATTTCAATTAACTTACAGTATTCGTTATTTGTACTATTTTGTTAAATTATTTAATTAAATTATTTATTATATATAAGTTTAACAAATAGTACAAAAATAAAAATACAGTATATAAATTATAAAACCATAGTAAATACTGTATAATAACATAGACCTA